GAATCTTTCCAAATCGTATTTGTTTATACATACCATGATCAGGGCGTGCCGATCGGACGTCTATATCCTATACCTCCCATTGGAACAATCAGATATACCTTGCAAGAATTGATGATATTTCGCGCAGTGTAAAAGCTTTTGACATGAATCTTTCCAAATCATATTTATACCCGTTACTCGTAGAGTAAAAGGGTATATTGTATTCGTGCAAAAGTATGTAACAGCTAGAAGGAAGCGTTTCCGACCCTATAAAGTATATATATTCTTGATCAGGGTCACTAGCCGAGTCGATATAGCCATGTCCGTCTGTCCGTCTGTCCGTCTGTCTGTCCGTCCGTATGAACGCTGAGATCTCGGAAACTATAAAAGCTAGAAGATTGGCATTTTGCATGCAGATTCTAGGAGTTCCTACGCAGCGCAAGTTTGTTTCAAAAAGGTGCCACGCCCCCTTTAACGCCCACAATCGCTTATATACGGTTTTAAAAATTTAAATATTTCGGAAAAGTAAAAATGCAGTTTTTTTGTGTTTATCAATACCTATCGAAATGTAGAAGAAATTTTTCAAATCGGACCATTGCGTTCTCTCTTGTTTTTTATGCATACCTTGATCAGGGTAAAAGCGCATGTCGATCGGACGTCAATATCCTATAGCTTCTATAGGAACAATTGGGTGAAATTGGTAAAAATTGATTGATTTTCAGGATTTTTTGGGCAGTATATTATAAGCTATTGACATGAATCTTTCCAAATCGTATTTTTTATGCATACCTTGATGAGGGTAAAAGCGCGTGCCGATCGGACGTCTATATCCTATAGCCTCCATAGGAACAATAAGGTGAAATCGGTTAAAATTTAATGATTTTCAGGACATTTCGCGCAGTATATAAGCTATTGACATGTATCTTTCCAAATCGTATTTTTTGAAGCATACCTTGATCAGGGTAAGTGCGCGTGCCGATCGGACGTCTATATCTTATAGCTCCCATAGGAAATGTAGTGTGAAATCGGTCCAAATTTGATGTTTTTCAGAATATTTCACGCAGTGTATAAGTCTATATTGACATAAATGTTTCCAAGTCTTATTTATTTACGCATACCTTGATCAGGGTATAGTTTCCGTAAGAAAAATTGTTAAAGGCTGCAAAAATATCCATTATTTTATATTTTTATATGACATTTTTGCATTATAAAAGCTATTGACATGAAACTATGCAAATCTTATTTATTTATGTATACCTTGCTCAGGGTAAGAGTTTTTGCCAATCAGACAACAATATACTACAACAGCTATTTAATTTTTTTTTTTTAGGTATAATGACACAAAATGTAATTTATTTATTTGTTTTATGTATTTGTTCGTCTATATAGTTAAACCTATTTATTTATTTATACTATTTTTTAATATTTGATTGAATGTTTGGAGTACCACCACAACTGGGATCGTTGTTGATTATGTTTTTTCTATCGTGCATGTGACGTCGCTTCAATTCTCATAAAAGCGTTAGATACGCGCCATGCATTTTAAACCTGAAGGAATTGTCTTATTTTTGACCATCATGATTGAACTATTTTTTAAAAAACGCTATGATCTCGGAAGCGATAAGATCTAGAGGGTTGGGGTTTTAAATTTAGATTTTTTAGATTTTGCCTTCCATTCAGCGCAAAATTGTTATGCGAATTTGCCACGCCCACTCTTACGTCCACAATCGCTAACTAGGCTAAGGTCTGTCTAGCGATTGAGATTTTATTTTTTGATAGTATAGCGCTGTCCTCCTCGATTCTCATAAAAGCGTATATGGGCCATACATTTTAAACCTGAAGGAATTGTGTAATTTTTGGCAATCATGATTTAACTTTTTTTAAAAACGCTGTGATCTCGGAACCTATAAGATCTAGAGGGTTGGGGTTTTAGATTTAGATTCCTTTGCTTTCCATTCAGCGGAAAATTGTTATGCGAATGTGCCACGGACACTCTTACGTCCACAATCGCTAAATAAGCTAAGGTCTGTCTAGCGTGAGATCTTATTTTGATTATAAATATTCATCTAACACCCAAATATTTTTCAAATTATTCTTTTTAATGAGCTATGAGCATTTAAAGTTTTTCCCAATAGATAGCGCTTGTTTAAAAAATCGGAATCGGAATCAGAGAGAGAGAGAGTAAAACTGCTTTTTACACATTCTACTAGTGCCCATGAAGACCATTTTTGCTTCAGCTAAGTGCCACGCCCACTTTTACGCAAACAAAAACCTTCAACGCTAAAATCTGGCCGCATTTCAAATGATTTTGTAAAATTGTAAATCAATACTAATATACTCATTCAAAATTGTTCAAATCGGACCTTTGGCTGAGTAACTGGTATATGATAGTCGGGGCATCCGACTATAGCGTTCACTGTTATTTTATTTGTAAATTCTACATTACAAAAAATTTTCGAATCGCTCCAATCCTAATATTTTTTTTAAAGGTTTCAATATGTACGTTTAAAGGCTTTATTATGGCGCCAAAAACTTTAAACCAGAAGGATTTTTCCCATTCTTACATTTTGTTTTGATAATTCAGCGCTTTTCTTCTCGATTCTCATCTATTGTATATTTAAGTGCTGCGATACTCGTATTTTAGCTTTTCCTCGGAGTTTAGTTTTGTGGTGAAGTTTTTGGTGAAAAAATCGATTTCAAGCTCCCTTGGCAAAGAGTCGGTAGTAGAAATAACATGGTACAGTCTGTTATAGTCGTTACACAGTACTCTGGTAATTCTACTAACTCGGGTAACTCGGGACTCTCCACATCCCCGTGAATAAGTTTATAAATAAACGTTTTGCCAAGCATCGTTCTACGGTTTAATAAGGATAGTAGGTTAATTAGGAGAAGTAATATGGTCACAAAACTTAAGTTTTGGGTCAGGAAGGACGTCAAGGTCATCAACATGCGTGATTCTAGACAACGCGGGTTCACCCTAAAAAATGTCATTACTTTACACATAGCGCTATTTAAATCCAAAAGATTTTCACAACACCATGTTTGAAAAGCATTAAGGTCCGATTGCAAGTCTGAACTGCTGGAAATTTCATTATATTGCAGGCATAACTTAACGTCATCTGCGTACATAAGGACACGCGACTTTGTCAAGACTAGAGGGAGATCGTTTTTAAATACAGTAAAAACAAGAAAGGAAAGCTAACTTCGGGCGGAGCCGAAGCTGATATACCCTTGCAGAATACTCTGTAAATTATATTCTCCAAAATTATTCATATGATGCATTCTTAATACTCATAAAAGTCCCAACTTCCTAACTTTAAAAACACCAAAGTTATGGCATTACCAATCGTTCAGTTATATGGCAGCTATAGGATATAGTCGGCCGATCCTTATGAAATTTGATAGGTCTGATTGATTGGCCAAAAATAAAGCCCATAGAAAATCCCAACTTCCTAACTTAGCAAACACCAAAGTTATGGTATTTCCGATCAATCAGTTATATGTCAGCTATAGGATATAGTCGGCAGATCCTTATGAAATTTGGTAGATCGGTTTGTTTTTCCAAATATAAGACCCATAGGAAATCCCAGCTTCCCAACTTTACAAATACAAATAAGTTATGGCATTTCCGATCAATCAGTTATATGGCAGCTATAGGATATAGTGGGCCGATCCCGTTCCGACATATATACTGCGAGCAAGGAAAGAGGGGTGTGTGCAAAGTTTCAATTCGATATCTTGAAAACTGAGAGACTAGTTAGCGTAGAAACAGACAGACGGACAGACGGACATGGCTATATCAACTCAGGAGGTGATCCTATATATACTTTATAGGGTCGGAGATGTCTCCTTCACTGCGTTGCACACTTTTGACCAAAATTATAATACCCTCTGCAAGGGTATAAAAATCGAGTTTGACTTGGATATGGCAGATGATTAAGACGGATTTGGACGGGATGAAACAGAATATGTTGACTGGAATAACTGGGCAAATAGATCGGCAATGTCCTGATCAGTATTTGCCAAAGAATTTTCAAATTATAGCGATGTAGGCTGATTTACGCTTAGTGAAAATTGAACCCTACAACGAGTCAGATAGCTTTTATAACACCGGGCGTTAAGCACGGTAAAATTTGACCGAGCCCTTAGGAATCGAGAGAAGGCAGATTGCGAACCGCACATTTTAAATTTATTGAAATGGGTGGACTTAACATTTTATAGGTGTGACAATTGACGGATAGTATAACAGAACACACAGATAAACGAAGGATTTCAATGCATTATAAAAGATATTAACGGCCTCAGCCATGTTAGTGCATGAAAAAAATTCGGACCAGTCATAGCCGGATATAAAAGTATTTAAAAGATTAAAGTTTGCCTTACGAAAGCAGCGGATTCGTTAAACCGACTTTTCGGGTTTTTTATTCAGCTCTGTTCTCGCATCTACAGTCAGCTCTAGAGTTGCATGATAAGGATCTTCCGGTTGTGTAAGTGGTGATGTTCTTAATAGACAAACGACTTCTGAAACAAAACACAAGTCCAGTAAACGTCCTAATGAGTTTTTAACATGGTTCACTTGGGATAGCGCATTGACAAGCAAGCCGTCAATAAAGTCATGCTGCGCTAAAGGAAGTAAAATAAAAAAAAAAGGTGATTTGCGTAAATTGGGAACTCAGATGATGATATATGAACAAGTAATATAAATTAATTATTTCCTTATTCAGGTTTTTACTTAACACGCGCGGTACTGCGCGAATGAGAACACTTAGGTTTCGGGAGGCGATGACCGTCACGATTTATTTCCAAAATTCAACTAAATACTAAGTACATAAATTCTTATAATGAAAGCTAGCCCTATGCCCTGAAAGTGCTGACCCGGCGCCCCGTGTGTGGTGTTGGGTAGCCGTCGGTTGCGTCGCAGTGCATTGCCCGCTGATAGCGCTGACCGAAGCTTGGGCTTCTGCTACCGTCGTTGTGCAATATCCGCAGGTGTCGCTGGCTTTGCATTATTCTCATGCCGGCTACGCGTGATCAGTTTGGCAACTTCTCTGTTGCCGGGTGACCGTGTTAACTCCTCCCCCGCTTTGATGAAGGACGTCCTCGGACTTCTTGAAACCGTCAATAATAACTTGAAGGTCATGCTGGCGACGAACTCGCTGGCGTCTTTGGTAGAGCTTGAAAATGATAAAGCAGATGGCGAAGAAAGCGATCGCGGCCACTCCAGATATTATAGGCCGGTTTTCCAGTCTCTTTTCCATTTCGCCAATGTATCGTAGGGGTTCTATGTTTAATTTCTGTAAGTATGGTAAACTCAGTATTTCCTGATGGTCTGTAATGTTAAGGACCGTTGATGCAGCGGGTGCTGGGAATTTTTTTACGTAGCTCTTCAAGTTTCGGTATAAGGTGTTGTTTACTTTTACCTCCTCGTCGAATGTAACGAGGAACGTTCCAGTTAGCAGTTGTCCATTGACCGTAGCTGTTCCGTCATTGAGAATAATAACGCCGTCATCGATGATTGTTAGTGGCTCGAGGTGGCTGGTGCGAGTCGAACAGTGTGCGTTGCCTCCTGAGTGGAGTTGTTGTGCGCATGTTGCATAGTGCAGTTCTCTGCAGAATGTTGTCGTAAGGGCAGCGCTGCAGTTTCCAATCGGCATGATTTTGTTACCGCAGTCAGCTATACTATCGCCTTCAGCAAAATTAAGAATAGTGCCGTTATGTTCAACGGGGTGCAAGATTATTTTCTTACAAGCTATGTAGGGCTTAGGATATTTTAATAAAAAGTGTAAAAAGTTATTATTTAATAAAACTTTAATTTGAGCTACTTCCATTAGATCGGTTATAGTAACATTTGTGGAATGTTCATTGATTAAATTTTGTAAGTCATTTGAGTCTAAAATCGCGGGATTGATTATTCCAATTTTTGCAAGAGTAACCGACAACATTAAGGCCTCGAGTTCGGAAATAATAATTCTATTTCTTGATAGCAAGTTCTCATATAAATTTTCTGTATTTATCTGTTTTGCTTTTGCATATTTTACTAAAATGTTTACCGTGTTCGTTAGGATGTTTATTTGTTCCTGGGTCTTTGTGTTAATGTTTATTTGTCTACTTTCTGATTCTATGAGTTCTTTCTGCCTAAATTTAATGTTCTCAAAGTCATCAAAATCTGGAGTACCGGCTACGATTTTTAATGCGGTGCCTAATAAATTTATGCTTCCAGCGTGTCTATGATGAACATTTACGGTATCTATGAGAGTCTTAATGTGTCGTAAATCTGAGTCTAATATCTGCCTCATATGTGACTGGGGGAAATGGTTTCTCATTTCTTCTGTTTCTTTAACTATTTCCGAGTACATGGTTAAGTTGGTTGAGTGTTTGAGGTATTGGAAGTCTCTCCAAATAGTCACATGCCCGTCTATGATTGGTATGTAATTTGAGGTCGTGTAGTTGGTCATTTTAGCTGCTATTGGTACGGCGAGGAGTAGAATCATCCAAATCCTAGTGTGTCGAAGATAAAAATAAAAAGAAAAATAAGATTCATTGAAATTACCTCAAATTGTCCTTATGGACCACCCTCCCTTTTATTAAGACTGTGGTCCCTAAGTCTGCTTCGACGGTTTCCTCGGAATACAAATCTGAAAGTTTGTTTCCCAACCTCTTATTTGATTTCACAAGAACCTTGTCTCCTACCTGAAAATTTCTGTCTTGTCTTGTTTTGTTCAATCTTTGTAGTTGAATGTTCTGGCCATTTAAGACTTTATCCCTAATTTCTGTGTTGAGCTCAATGGTCGATGAGTGTATTATGTCAATGGGTCTTTTATTTGTTACTGAGTGAATAGTTCTATTGTATTCTATAGCCGCGAGAAGTATTAGTTCAACAGTGTCTTCAATACTTCTTTCAATTTTTAAGCACCGTGCAATTTCTGTCAGTGTACTGTGGAATCTTTCCACTTGTCCGTTCGATGTACTATGAAGAGGCGGTGCATTGTTTCGGATTTTATAGAAGGCTCATTATCGCAATAAATTGTTTTTGGTCGTCGATAGAAATTGGTTGGACAATTGAAAATTTTGAAAATTTATCTACACAAGTAAGAAAGTATTTTTTGTCGGTCGAAAATATGTCAATATGTAATATTTCGCCCGTGTATGAGGGAATAGGTGTTTCCCCGAGAATCTGTTTCTGAGGGTGTCGATCATATTTTGCCTTCTGGCAAATTTTACAATTTGCGACGACCTCATTTGCCATATGAGTCATTTTGGGAAAAAAAATAGTCCTGCATGATCTGCTTCACGTTTTCCTGTCCAGCTCTATGAGCCCTGTTATGTTCTAACACAGTAATTTCTTTGTGTTCGTTTTTGTCTAAGATGTCGGTCACCATGCGGTTTGTGTAACGAAAAGTGGTTGTCGGAAATGTTTCTATTAATTTATGTTGGATAAATGCCAGTACTGGTAGTTCGCAAAAAATTGCATTGACTACGTCCTTATTGACCACATCACATATTTTCTGCATAAGTGTTTCTCTATCCGAGAAATGTAAGAGATGTCGAGTCTTTTCACCAAACATAATGACCATTCTAACTGAAGCAATTCCGCTTTCTTCTATTATTATTTGGTTCCGAAAGCAGTTGACCGGCTTGTCCGTTTTTTCGATGGTGTAGGTTAGTGATAATTCGCTATGTATTGTGGCAATATCTGACTGCGCATCTTCTTCTAGCGAGTGAATGTGCTGTCGGGACAGCGCGTCAGCAACGTAGTTCTCTTTTCCTGGCTTGTAAAAAATTTGTGCATTGTGCTCGTCAATGAAAGCTTTCCAGCGCTTAATTTTTGCGTTTGGATTGCGATCTGAGACGGCGAAAGTTAGTGGTTGGTGGTCAGTAAAAATGTTTAAATTTTTTACGCCGTATAGGTAATTTCTGAGGCTCTTTAAGGCCCACACAATTGCCAACAACTCTCTTTCGTTTGTTGCAAAATTTAGTTCCCTGTCTTTTAAAGTTCGTGATATCATGGTTATGGGTTTTCCGTCCTGTGATAAGACTGCTCCCAAACCGAAAGATGAAGCGTCCGTCGTTAAGTCAAAGGTTTTTTTATAATTTGGATATAATAACATTACGTTTTCTGACGCGAGAACACTCTTAAGCTTCTCAAATGCCTGGCGCTGATGCTCATCAAAGTTAACGGGTATTTTTTTAGATTGGCCTGCGCTTACTTTGCCATTCTCGCCTTTTAGGATGTCACTTATAGGTTTTGCAATAGATGCAAAGTCCTTAATAAAACACCTATAGTAACTTGCTAATCCAAGGAATGATCTGACATTAAATAGTGTGGTTGGTTGCTCGTAGTTACGAATTGCATCTACTTTGCTAGGGCATGTTCTTATGCCTCCTCGTGAAACTACGAAACCTAAATACTCTACGCTTTCTTTAAAGAAATTAGATTTTTCACGCTCATTCACCCTCATGTTGGCCTCATATAATTTGTCCAAGACCCATGCTCTGTGTTTCACATGATCGTGCATATTTTCTGAAAAAATAATTAGGTCATCGACATAGACATAGCATGATTTCCCTATTTGTTCTCTGAGCACATCATCGATGGCTCTCTGAAAAATGCTGGGCGCGTTCTTCAATCCAAAGGGCAGTCTGCAAAATTCATATTTCCCACTTCCTACTGAGAAGGCTGTTTTCTCTCTGTCGTTTTCGGCGGGAAGTATCTGGTGGAAACCAGACTTCAAATCCAATGTGGTAAAGTGTTTCGCCCTCCCTAAATTTGCCAGGATAAAAACAACATTCGGGATAGGGTATTTGTCGTCTATTGTCTTTAAGTTAAGTTTCCGGAAGTCTATTACTAGGCGTTTTTTTGTGTTTCCCTGCTCATCGGTCCCTTTTTTATCTACAACCCAAACAGGGTTGTTATACGGAGACCCAGATGGTCGGATTATGCCGTCTCGTAACATGGCTTTTGTTTCTTTATTTACAAAGTCGGACACACCCATCGGGTATGGGTACAATTTTGAATATATTGGGTCTTCGTTCTCAGTCCGGATAATAGCAGTGATATTAGTATTGTAAGGCAGCGCCTCGTTCGGCTCTGCGAATACGCCTGTGCGATTTCCCCACATGTCCTGGAATTTTTCTGAAATTTCCTGGGGTACCTCAATATCCTCAACCTTTGTAAAATTAACATTTGCACATTTTAAAAATTTAATTTCTTTTGCACTGCTATTAGTTATTAATTTCTTGTCTTTTAGGTCGAGTACTACATCAGTTTTTTTTAGTAAGTCTAGTCCGATTATTCCGTCAAAGGTCGTTAAGTTCGGTAGTAAGAAAAATGTTGTAGTTGTGTTAAAAAGGTGCATCATACATTTTTTATTTATGGTGTTGTGACCATGGATTGATTTTACAGAAAAAGGTTTATTTACGTAAATAATGTTTTTTAATTATTTCATAGGCTTGATATAATTTTTGGAAGCCCCTGTGTCTATCAAAAGTTTGATTTTCCTCCCTGCGATATCCCTTTCTATGAATGGGAGCAGGGAGTTATGCCTAAAAAATTTATTTCGTCATATTCTACAAGGTCATCGTCTACATCTTCTACTTATTCCTCTGCTACTGTAGGGTATTCGTCATTGTTTTCATTCGATAAATCGTTGTCTAACGCTAAATGGTTTATTCTTTGATGTTTCGGTCCTGTGTACCTAGCGCTACTGTTATTAGGTCTTTTACTTGCCAGTCCCTGGTTATTGTAAGCGTTCGCTTGGAAATTTTGTGGACTTGTCTGCCATTGACTGTTTTGGGGCTGTCTTTGAAACGGACCACTTTGTTGATTTTGAGTTGGCTGTCTAAAGCGAGATGAGCTATCGACGTCCATTGGCTGTACCGGATCTTGTCTAAGTGGCTGTCTTGGCCTTTTATTAAAATGGGGTTTTTACCCTCCGGGTGGAATCTAGATTCTGTTACCGGATTTCTTTCTCTGTCCAGTTGTCTCTGTTCGGACCTTTGGAGTTTTTCCTCCGTGCTACGGGCAAAATTACTTGCGAACATATATCGCTCATGGTTAGCCTCTACTTCCTGTGCTAGCGCTAGAGCGGAAGGAAGATCAGATGGTCTTGCTGAAAAAAGAACATCGCTTAGCGATTTTCTTGTTCCAGAAATAAAAACGCGTAGCGCATCCGCTCTGTATTTTTCGTTCAGTGGAGCAGCTACGGTGTTGTCGTAGGTCATAATTGTCTTATTTATAAGCAGAGTCAGTTTTTTCTCTACTTCGTCATAGTACTGTAAGAATGTCATGTTTCCTTGGCGGAGCGTTGACATCTCCTGTTCTATTAAATATACCGGCCGCTTGTCCGCGTATGTGAAGTCTAGTCGGTTTATTATGGCCCTAAAGTTCAGAGGTGTGTCGAACGACGAAAGAACCATATCGGCTGAATTTTTTATTTTATTTCTTAGTATCCCTAAAGCTTGGTAATGTTTGGAACTTTATATGCGGTGTGCGCCGCTTTTCTCCATGAGACGTACGTCTCATTTTTACCCTCGAAGTCCGGCAGGGACTTCATAATATCTAAGGTC